CGATGCGGATGTTATTCAAATTGATCAATAGATTAAACGGATTGGATTAAGTGGTTAATAATACTTATTTAGAAGCGACACGAATTGCCGGACTGACATGAGTGTGATTTATAGCACATTGCAAGCACAATACTGCGCCGCGGGCGAGATGAACAAAAATAGATCTAAAAGCATCTTTCATTTAGTTGTTCTCTCGCAGAATTCCCAAGCCTTCGTCATATTTTAAGTTTACACTTTTAACTGAGAGACTGTCTGAGCAGCAACGTACGACAAGACAAAATAAAAGCGTCTCCTCAGTAATGAGCTATTTTCCAAAAAGAGAAAGACATAAAATCTTACATTAAGAGTAAAGATCGTACAGTGCACGATTTAAGTACATCGTTACGAGAGACAACAAATCATAGTAATATATCCGCTCTTACAATTTCTGCTGCTAATTTTAAACATAATAAATTTCATGGAAACTTTGCAATTGTATAGATATCAGCTTTAGTATGTTTTTATCGTATTATAGTACTCATTTGAAAGTATTAAAATTGTTTATAATGAAAAAGTTTCCATTAAAATTTTCTTGGTATAAGGATCACTCATATTATCTATATTGAAATTTTTTTATTCATATTGTTTTAAACATTTTTGTTATTAAATTAAGACCTAAATTTATATATGAGACTTATATTAGAATATGTTCCGTGTTGCTATATCAAGATTAATCGAAATAGTGCGTATTAACAGCTAAATGTTCAAAAACAAGAAATTGTATTTAAAATTAATCGAGTCCCATTCTCTCTCTTTTTATTGCAAATTAACTTGCAATAATTGTTAATATTTTTAATTATTTGGAAAAATAATGAAACAAAATTTTCAGACGCACTACAAACCTACCTCCGGATAGTTTAAATAAAAAATGCAACGTTTAGTTGTATAACTATGCACGACGATAACAGTTTGTTTTGCGCGTTTAATGTAACGACAATTACTGTCAAGACTTTAAACCTTGAGAAAGTTTAAAGATTCTTTAACGTTGAACTTGTCGATGGAAATTACTATTACAACGCAACGTGATATTAATAGATAATTACCGCGAAATGAGGGAAGCTCTTGCTTTGAAATTCAAATAATATAGAATGTTCTCTTTCTTTTTGTTTAGCTGGAAAAAATTCATGCGCAAATATTGAGTTTCTACTTTAGAATGTCGCGTATTCAATTTTTCACGAAATACATTATTCCGTCTCGATTTTTTTCTCAATTTATTTATTTTATCGCAGATCAACGGATATTGACAGTCGCGAGATTTTCATCGCTTAGAGACCATGTCGAGCTTTTCTTCTGATTCAATTTTTTCTCTGTTCCGGTTTCTTTTTTTTTATTTTATTTTCATTCTGCCGATAGACACGTGCGAATAAACTATTAATAACTAATGGACAGATCCCATAAATAGATTGCGTTTACATGGGATACATGATTGTTAGCTTATATAAGTTGACAGCTGCAGGTACGACACACTCGGTAAGGCAGACAAGAAGGGAAATTAGAGCGAATAAAGGGTACTTCCTAGCGTATCGTTTTCAATCTCGCGGTTTAAAGAATAAGAAAAATTTTGCGGAAATTGAAGTTACTTTGATACACAAACCTTATACTACTTTCGTTACAAGTGGAATCGCTTTAAAATAATATATCTGTAAAGTACACTCACAAGCAAAAAAAAACGGGCCACTAAATTTTAGCACAAAATTTTTAATATTTTTAAACAGTGATAACTCAATGATCATCGTAGCGACATATTTAAAAAAACATTTTAAAGCTTGAAATCTCTAGTGTTCAGATCGATACTTAAAAAAACGGTCGAATATTATTAATAGAATACGAATGCGACCTACATTCAATTGCTGATAATTGAACGTTTACGTCAATTCTCGATTCTAGAAAATTAAACGAAAGAAATTTTGCATTTTACATATATATATAATCAGAGCTGGACATTATTGATTAATAAATGTAATTAATTACAATTATATTGGCTTTGATTACAATTACATGTAATTACAATTACTTTGTAATTGCAATTAATGTAATTCAATTACAGTAGTTGTTGGGTTGTGTAATTACATGTAATTCAATTACAATTGTAATTGTATACGAGTATTGAATATTGTGTATACGATTACTTTTACAATTACACCAACAGCTGGTTTGGTCGCCTTACACACTCGTCGTAATTTTAAAATTTTTGCAATCGAAGTACTGGTGACATAATCGCCATAATACAAAGAATATCACATGTACCTATAGTCTATTCCATAAGAGCGTGCTGTTTCTTCTATAAAAAAAAAACACGGCATTTTAGTTTATTGAATTTATTAATAGATTCGAATCAAGTTTTTAACAATTCTGTGTTTTTTTTTTTTTTAAGGAAAAACAGGTTGTTCGCTCTTGTAGAACTGACTGTATTTCAGATTTCACGCACTAAATTTTATTGCTATTCTATTCTATTCTATCCGCCGTAATCTAAATGTAATCTGTAAAAATAATAATCAGTTATTACTAATTTGTAACATTTTATACGAGCGTATTTCATTAAACAAAGATAAAATATTATCCTCATTGTGAGCTATGTTTAAAGACAGTTTTTCTTTGCTTTTTTTCAGTTACAACCAATTGTGCTGGACTGTGAATAAGGAACTCCATTGGATTTCAGGACAGAAAGTTCGGTGTAAAACTTGGGTCGTTACACTGCAAATCGATAGTATGTTATTTTAAAACACATGTGTGTTAATTGATTGAAGCATTTTTAACTTATATTTAAATTAATTTATCGCCGTTTTATATTAAGGTAAAAATGTTCCAGTGACCGGACATTTAAGCGCAGGTCATTACAAATATTTCAATTTATATATAAGATATTTGGAATATCTTGATTCGTATCTGTAAACAAATTAAATTTATTATATACTGATTGCTCTACCAATATTTATAGCCATTATATTCAATATATGCATGCAACATGATTATTTACCTGAAATATTTTGAATGTTTTTATTGTTTTCTTGCAATTCTAAATTATCAAAAACGATGTCAGATGGAGAATCTATTAGCTGAACCGTAATATTTTCAAACGTATTTTGTTCTTAAAATTCCAAAAACTCGATGATAATTGATTGCGATTCTTCAGGCTGAATAATTGCTATTTCATTTGCTGAAATACTGTTAGTGGCTGTAGATTTATGAATATCATCTAAGCATGACCAGAATTTCTTCATTTACACACAATGTATCTTGAAGATAATCATTTGTCGCGTTTCGATTCTGGTTCGTATCTTAGCTATCTGGTAGCTATCTGTTCAATTCTTTGTTCTTCATTGCTGTTAAAAGTATCTTTTCTAGGCTTATCACAATCATCATTACCTATAGAATTGGAATAAAGGTGCCAAAAATAAGTTAATTTCTAAAACATACAATAAATTATAGTAAAAAAAAAAAAAAATAAGATTCTGCTGTTATTTATAAATGCTATATTTATATTTGTAAATTACAGTATTTAAGTTTACTGTTTACATGTCTGTCTGAAGTTCCAATGCTCTATCCTTTGGGGATATTCTGCGTTATAGTTGCTGGTATTCTTTTGTAAGCGTATATGATAATGGGAGATGTGTGTGACATAACTCTGGAAGCGCTAATCATTACTAATGTTGTCAGTGCCTTTTTTTCGTCAGCATTTACAATTTTGTATACTGATTTAGCACCTTTTTTAACAATAACTTGTTCTGCTTTCGGACACAATAAAAAGGAGCTTTCATCACAATTAAAATACCGTAAAGCATCAATAGAGAGCAATTATTTCTTTAACAATTAAGTATTTACGAACTTCATGAAACCATTTTCTCAAACAATCTTCATTAACTGATGCTCTGATAGTCGTTAAATTCTGTGCAACTCAATGTGATAGCTCAGGGTGTCAACGAATAAATGATTCATAACTAATGACGCCCGGACCTGTTGTTCGTAAAAGGATTTTCTTTTTGTAACTGTTTTATTAATAATTGCACACTGCCTAACAGTTGTTCCTTGTTCACCGGAAAGCCTCTTTTATTGACATACAATGTCCAATTAACTCGATTTCTTCTTTTAAAGACAGAATAGTCGATGGTCTCATTATAGATTCAATTTGTGATTTGTTTTTAAATTTATCATGCAGCGTAGTTTTTGGAATTCCATATATTTTGCTGGCTCGTCTAATCGGAATTCCTCGTTGAATAACATGTATTGCATCATTTATCACTGCTTGAACATACCTTTTGTCCTGTTGCTGTTTCGTCTTCATTTTTATTTGTAAAAACAAGTTTATTTTTCTATTGATTTTTAATCACTAATCTAATTATTCATGCATGATTTTAAAGATAACCTCAATGAGGTTATAAAAGAAGATTTTTACTTTGATAAATAACAGCTATTATACATTAATAACTTATTTTTAACATATGTAAATAAAAGAAATTATCGATAATAGTTTTAAAAAGTCTTACATGCAATTAAGTCTTTAAAAATATGCAATTATTATACTTATTGAACAATTCCGTAATGTTTATAAAAGCAAGATTATGTGACTCTAAATTTACAAGCTGGGTTTGTATATACGAGTCCGGTTTTTGGGACCATTAGTAGGTACTTTAAATTTACCAGTTTCCGGACATTTAAAAATATCGTTTTTGTTGTGACTTTTATGATGAATTTCATCAAAACAAGTTTCTAATTAATCTTTAAAATTACATATTATTATTTATTCACAAATATAATTAAATATTCAGTTTTATTCTATAAGCTAGATGCTAACGCTTACAAAATTTCTTAACGATTAAGGGGTCTAAATGATTTGAGGAAACACGCAAATAAGCGTGTTACCTCAAATTTACACAGAAAAAGTGTCTTAAAATAACAAAATAATATGTGGCTGTATGCACTTTGTTTTGATTTTATAAAATAACAAACTCGGATTTGCAGTGATGTCGGCCGAGGAGTTAGTCCAGTCTAATGTGACATATTATTCCGACTATGACAACAGCACTAATGTGACATATTACCCCGACTACGACATCGAAGAGTCGTTTAGTTATATTGATTGGGCCGAATTGGGTCCCATTTTAACCGTTTACGTCCTCACATTCCTCCTGGGATTGATTGGTAAGTTTAATTTCATGTTCAAAATAAATGAGTATTATCCAGGCTTATGTGAATTATATCAATAAATATAAAAAGAAAATCAGTAAGAGCCAAACGCTGAATGTTGATGCGAAATGATTTATTACATAACAATACAATTAAAGTATTTAATACTATTATATAAGTGAACATTTCGATGGATAGGGTCCTCCTCAGCAATACACTAAAAAAGACTAAAGTTAAACATCGATATTGTCTAAGTAATATTTACAATTAGTAATACTCTTAGAGATCTCTCTGATAAGTTATGCGAATTTTGTGAAAATAAGTGTATACGTTAAATGATGTGTATGTTTTATTTCAAAATCATAATTATGCATGTCATCCATCAAGCTTCCAAATTTATTATTATAAATTAGCAATAGATGGTTTTTTTTAGTTATGAATTATAATTACGTTAAAAGAGTAGTTCGATAATATGTGGGTTAAACTTACATAAAAATCTGACATGTATACATGATATCTGATAATATGTTGTGTATACGCCGTTCATAGGTTCGAATCTATTAATAATAATAAATAATTTCGCTTCAACATCCAGCGTTTAACTCTTATTAGCTTTCTTTTGTAATGTTTAGAAATAAAACTTCGTCTACAGTAATCGCACGGGCTGTGTCGCATATCGTATATGAGATTGGCTTCGTTCAGCGGACTCAACAATTGATTGATCATTCGCTGTTATTGATGTGTTCTTTTAGATTCTAGAAGACACAGCCCGTGCGACTCATTGTTATTTATAAATGAGGTTTAAAATTATAAATCACTTTGTATTTTAACTAATTGCATTGTTGTATTATTTGATAGAAGAATACTTGGAAGCTTATTAAAAATTATTTCCGTTTAAAAGAACTTAAAACTTAAATATCGTTATTTAATCCATTATTCTAATTGATTAAAAGAATTCGGCCCATTACATTTATAGACCTTAGCATTCGAATACACACATTAATATTTAAAAAATATTATTATATTGTTGAGTTTATCATTAATGTATTCATAAGACAATACTTTTTTAGCAACTAATTTATTTATTATCAACATGACATCGTATTGAATAATCTCTTCATAAAGATCATGTGAAATATAAGGTGGCAATCCAGGTTGGCAAACACTAAAAAAGTTTAATTATTAAAAATTTTAAATTATTAAATTTTTTTAATTTTCAAAAGTTTAAATTATTAAAACAGAATTTGATTTAATTCCTCTACTTGTTTTTTTTTATTTATATATATTGTTAGCTTTTATATACTTAGCATTAATTTTTTTGTTAACACGGTCACTTTTTAGATTATTACTGTTCTACTACATAGTTGGAAAATTTGTGTATTTTTGTGAAAAAATCTGCTGGTTAAAGTTTTTGTGTTAAGTAAGGTACACATTTAGATGTAAATTTAATGTCTTTTATGAATATAATGAATATGAAGTGTAAAGTTATTGAAACGATTAAAAAAATTTGTTAGAGTAACACAATTTGCACGTATTTAGTAAATATGTAAAAATTTACAGAATAAGGATGTACTCTTGTGGCGACCCGCCACCAGAATCCAACGAGAGGTTCGCGCCAATTCTTGCAAGTATTCGAGACACGCGAAATCCCTTCATATAGAACCTTGATCTTAAAAACTCCCCCAAGCGTCTAAGATAGGCTACAATGCCTTATTGACGAGTCCAGTAGTGAAGACCGAGACGAAATAGTGACGTATTTGGCACTGGATAATCAGTGAAGTTCAATTAAAAATGAAAGGTTTAAACATTCTTAAAATATTGATATTTACATGTTAATTTATGCACTAAAATAAGTTTAGTCAGATAACATAATAAAGATTAGCTAGATTAGAAATCTCATATTTCATTCATTGATTACCAGTAGCACTGATATCAGTGATTATCTACTGATTCAGATTTAGAGAGTACGATAACACGACGCCATGTAATTAAGAGCATATTAGGCTGTGCTGTACTTTGCAAAGTTTGCTACGGTTTCCATACGACAAACAAGATTTGTCGGTCGCAAACTCTATTCACTACACCGCGTCTCATTCGCCTGTTTAAAATGAATTTACGAGTATTACTTCGCTCCTATTTACCGTCCAATTAGCAATTTTACGGAACTGGAATGTCTCGCCAGCGCAACGTGCGATAATTTTTTTTTCTTTCGCGATATACTCCATGATGAAAAATAAGGCAACTGCTCTACTGTCATTCTCACCGTAACTACGAGTGCGATTTAATGTAAAGCATAGCATTGTAATATAGTAAATTACAAGTGAGAGAGTAAAACCTTCTGGTTCTCTGTTGTTTTAATGTACGCGCTATGTTTTATGTTTCAACAATTTTTTCCTTTTTTACAAAATATATCGCATAATTAGCGATTCTGCAACATACAAATGTTTCTTTTGCGATTCTTTTATTGATCAAAACGAAAATGTATAGAAAATGTATATATCCTCGCTCTCTTTCTAGCATGAAGATAATTTAATAAGGAAGCAATAATAATAAGTTAATTTATAATAGCAATAATTAACTCATAACACAATTAAAGTTTTAATATATTTCAAAGTTGTTATTAAATTCATTGTTCAATATGATGTCATGTTGATAATAAATAAATTAGTTGCTAAAAAAGTATTGACTTATGAATACATTAATGATAAACTCAGCAATATAATAACATTTTTTAAATATTAATGTGTGTATTCGAATACTAGGAGGTTCATAAACGTAATGGGCCGAATTCTCTTAATAAATTAGAATAATGAATTAAATAATGATGTTTAGGCTTTCATTTTTTAGACGGAAATAATTTTTGATAAGTTTTGATAAGTATTCTTTTATCAAATAGTACAACAATGCAATTGTTCCGATCGATATTTTAAAAGCTACTACAATGTTAACTATTTTTCGTAAAAGAAGTAATTTCCACTCTTTAAAGTCATATGAGTTATTCTATCTAATCAATACAAATGGTAATATGTTTAATAATTGTAAAATTATTAGAAATTTATAAAATATATAATTTTCAGTATTCTCTTCGTATTTCGTGTTGTAATGTAGCGAGTTAATAAATTAAAATAATCAAATTAGTCGTCGAAAAATTTTCGGTAGTAGGACAATAATAATCTAAAAAATGATCGTTAATAAAGAAAATTAATGCTATAAGTATATAAAAGTTAACAATATATATAAATATAACAATGTTTATCTTAAATGTTGAGAATCAGTTAATAAAAAGGTGATGCCAAAAAGTGGTAATCCACATCGTGTTAACAAACAGTAGTTATTTTCTTCAAATTGGAGCAAGATTGCAAATGAAGTATTAAAAAATCAGTGATTTCGACGATGTCGGATAATATGATATAATGTCAGGAAGGAAAATATAAACTAAGAATAGATGGTAACAAGGGGAAAAAAGGAAAATACTAGAAAGGGGAAAGAGAATGTACGATGTTAGAATACATTTCAGGCAATGAGTCTGTGTCATTTTGTCTATTAATTCCATATTTCTGTTTTTTATATGTACATTTCAGATATTAATCTCTTATTGTGTAAAGGTTTGATATTCAAAATATCCATCTTATTCAATTTGAAATTATGATTCTCGTCAATACGGTGATTAGAAATCATTGATGGAGATTTTGATTTTTTATTAATATCTGAAACGTGCTCATGCAGTTTTGTCTTTAACTGTCTCTTCGTTTGGTTCACGTAACTAACATCACAGTTGTCACAAAAAATCTTATAAACAACATTTTGTATAAACATAGGTTCCAGCTGATCTTTTCCTCTTTTTATAAAGTTTTTTTAATGCGTTTAGAATAGTAAAAACCAATTTGCAGTTAAACATGTTAACAATTGGTGTAAATTTTTCAAATATCGAATTGACGTATGGAATTGTAAAAAATATTTTTACCTTGACATTTTTATTATTATAACTATTAATATTGTTAATATAAAATTTAATTCTATTATATGATAAAATAAAAGATAGTAGATATCAATTGTTTAAAAAAATATTAATAGCATCAATTATAGGTTATTTTACTTCATTTTGAAATATTCCGAAGGTATAAGAAATAAGAGAAACGTAATTTCTTTCAGGAAACATCGCTATGATTATTACGACGATTTGCCGGAGCAAATGCCCATTGCCGGAGACACCTACTAACGTTTTTTTGGGTAGTCTGGCCACGGCCGACCTTCTATTGATAATAATTTGCATCCCTGTAAAAGTAAGTAATATATATAGTATGCAAAAAATCATTTTCAATGCACATAACACTATATTCATTCAATATTTTTATTTGTAGTATTGTACTTCTCGGCTCATTTTTTATCAATAAAAGCCGTGAAAATTATCTCTCACCATACTACAATTAGATCGTAATATAGTTAAAAATATTCGCATACATATTTCAACATTTGGAAAAACAGAAAATATTCCATCATTATACAAAACTAAATACGTTTCTCTTATTGAAGATCGGGATTCTCAGTTTCAATTTTAAATTCAAGCGCTTTTACTGTTGAGTCTAAATAATATTTAAAATGATTAAACTCGGAGATATTTGTTTTATCAAAATATCAAACGGCGGGTACATTTTGTATAATTTGTCACAAGAAATCGAAATTTCATCGTCACTCATTTTTAGTATGTTAAAAATATGTAAAACCAAACGCGTTAAAAATATTTGTGTATATTTCGCTGTGTCAATTTCGTTGGCAGTTTAGTAAATTTTGTAAATGAGACATTTTGAGAACATTTTGTAAATGAGAGATTCGTAAATTCCTACGTAATTTTATCTCAAATGAAAATAGAGACGAATCCTATCGGATAAAATTATGTAGTCACTCGAGGAATGGCGTGTACACGGAAACACTTGACGCATCGCTATTTGTTTATCTTACACCGTGGTTCTCGCGTTTTCCTATTTACCCTTTATAAGCTTCCCGTTTTTGATTCTCGTCGCCCACTTACTTATCGATTTTATCTACCAAGTTCAATGAAACTGTGATGGACAGGCTGCTATTTTGCGCTCGTGCACGTAATCATCTTCGATAATATAATCAGTGCACGCGCGTGTAAAAAGAGGAAATATGATTAACTAGAGAAGAGATAGGATACTTTTATTTTTAAAGTTTTTCAAGAAAGAAGAGGGAATTTAAACAGGCGTTTTGTGCGAAAAAATTGGTTGATTTTATAATATTTATCTCTTGCAATCCAATTGCAATCGGACTTTTTTTTGCATAGCCGGAATTTCTCTTTTACTTTCGAATTTCTTCATTTTTATTTCATGTCAATTTTTATTAAATATTGAGTTAAAAAACTTTAGAGATGTTAAAAAGTAACCTTGAATTTTTCCACATTTTTTCATAGTCTAGAATGAAAAAATTTGAACAAAAAAGACCCAGATTGCACAAACGAAAGATTAATTGTTTAGAAAAATAAAGTGAAAATACAATTTGTACTTTTACGTGCACACTGTTTAGTTATAAAGAAAGGAAAATTTATAGTACAAGTAAAAGTCAATTAAGTACGAGAAAAGCAAGTTATGGTCAGATTTAAATATTAGAATACATTTATGGAGGGTAAAGCTCGTGTCACTACGGACTGTGGACGCGGATCGGATTGAGATTTTGGATCACTCGTCATGAGCTGGTAGAGCAGACTGAATGAGTCGAAAAGTCCTCTACCGTTTTGTAATTTTTGCAATAGTTAACGAGATATTAATTTTTGAAGATAGCCGAATAAACATTACCGTTAACACCTTAGTAATTAAGACTGTAATCGAAAGAGTCAGTCAATGTCAATTCAAATTTGAATAAAAATTTAGATCCTCGAAATTTAATTAATCATTTTTTCTATTAGGTTTCATTGTCGGAAAAGCACTCGACTTTTTAATATTAAAAATTACATGATTTAAAAAAAAAAGTATTATATAAACAAGTATACGAACGCACGAAATTAATTTATCATTAATTAATTATATACGCCTCGCTGGTAGTTGAAAAATTTGCTATCAGAAATTTTTTGATAGAGTTAGCATTCGAATTTGTCACCTATTACACGTATTGTATGTTTTCAAGCGAAATATGCAAACTAAGAGCCTCGAAAAACCGATATTACATGCATATCAGATGAGGACATTTTGACGCAGATTAGAATATTTTGACATCTATTAGATCCATTTAATGTCTCTCGACGCGTTAGTAACATCTCTCTGGATCGAGTATTATTATAACATTGACGTTAGTAACTTCAACGTACGCATTAGAGTGACATGTGTTTAATATCTGCTAGAATGATAATCAATGTTATTAAACCGCTCCAGTGTAATTGCCAGTGTAGGTAGCAGCAAGATAATGTCATTTTTGTGTAATTATAATTATCTCAGAATATTTCTCATATTGTTAAAAGGCAAAAGTATTTTAATCGCGCACATTCATCTGATAATACGATAAAGAGATACGATGGTTTAGTGGAATAAATTCTTTAAATTTCAAGCATTTTGTGCTGTAATTATTTTATGAAAAAATTTATAAAGTAATTTAAAAAAGTAATTAAAAGAAAATTATGTATACGCACGGTTTCCAGTATAAAGTGTGCAGGAATAATTACTTTTATTAACATTTGATATAACAAAAACTTCAAAATAAATCTGTTATTTACTTTATCTCTGAAGTTTCTGTCATTTACGATGTTAATAAAAATGATTATTTCTGCATACTCTTTACACCAAAAACCGTGCGTATAAATATTAATCTTGATTCAGTTTAGCGTTACTTTCTATGGATTTTACTTACATTAATTTTACCTACACATCGCAAAAATCGATACATATCGCTGACTAACAGCTATTAGTGTTAATGTTTTCCGAATACAATCGAGAAATCAATTACATACTTTTGAAAAATACATAGTAAAATGATGAAGATAATAAAATGTTCTCTCGGTGTTAATTAATAGTCTCCAATCGATAGGTAGTCAATAGGCGTTGGCAGAGAAATTATTAATAGATTTCTGCGTTAGGAGAGCTAATTGGCTGCTTTTATTGAGTGTAATATGAAATTTGTGTGTATTAAACATTAAAATATGAAATTTGATATTGATAAATATAAATATCTAAGTAAATTGGACGCAACCAAAAATTCATTTATTAATTTTAGTTACATATCGAATAAAATAAAATCGTCAATTAGAATAACTATAAAAAATTATATTTTTTAATTATGATTTTTTTGACATGTGTATGTGCCGTTTTAATTCATCTGAATTTAAAAAATTAACGATTCGATTATTGTCATAATTTGCTAGGTATTATAATAATAACAAATTATGTATGTAAAAATTTGTAGGATAGCTATAGTTAAGAGAAAAAATTAATTTAATATTATTTTTGTGCGTCGAGCAATACTAATTAATTTCTTCTTTAACTAATATTAACATTACACGATTAACATTACTTCCTAGAAGATCCAATTCATAACGCGATGATCTAATTAAAAACGAATGTTTCAACGCGTCTCGCGCGGTCCGCGTTTTTCAATTGATTGAATATCCAGGTTATTATTGATGACTGACCTTCATGGACATGAGTCAGTTGCAATTTACATTTATTAAAACGATTGGAAGAGTTATCTGTTGCATTTTTTTATCATGTTATCTATGATTTAGTAGCGTAACATATGACAATTGATAACTATATTACGCCAATAATAATAATAGTAATAATAAAATTAATTAAACAGCATATATTGTTTATAAGGAAGCATTACGTATAATCGATTTGTTTTTAATGGAAAGATTCTTAATCAATTTTGTGTCTTGATGCAATTGTTAAGACATTCGAGTTTTGTTTTTTCCTTTAATTTTTAACAGCTCAAGTTTTTATGCAGCTCGAATTAAAATTCTGTTAAATACTCTTTAAACTTCAATATTTATGATTTATTTTATTTTTTATTTAATTTACTAGAAGTCGTTGTTTCTTATACTAATTTTCTCAAAAACTGCAAGTATTTGGATGTTTTGTTGAAAAAGATTATCAAAAATTAGCGAAAGAATCTTGGAAAAAATATTAAAGAATCAGGTACAAAAAATGACATGTTTACATAAATAATTTGAATCAATTTGTAAACAGCGCAAAATAAACAGAGTATGAAATGCAGCATTTCTAATTTGTCGCGTTCGCAGAGATCGCATCTCTTCATTTGTACATACATGATAATACGTTACGCTGCGCAACGGTTGATTATTCTACGTAACATGAGATAAATTTATGGTCAGTGTCCTTTGCTGTTGTACAAATGAACGTAATGTATGTACGTGGCAACCACTCGATTTCGCTTCGCGCGCTGCTGCTCAATGAACATGTACTTATTGCACGTGCATAAAGTCACTTCTTTTTAGACATACATACATATACATCGCAATATACGTACATTTTAACAAATACTAAAATCTTTTTAAGACCGTACAATAATAAGTACGATAAACAATAAATAAACAAGAAGAAGAAAGCCAATAACGGTCAAAGCTAGATCACAAATGCTTATTGAAATTATGTGTGAATTTTATATACTACTGCGTATGTAGTCCTCCCTAAATCACGTGCTAAAATTTTTTCAGACTTACAACGCAACACTAAACAACTACCGCAGTAATATCACTTTTAGTTAAACTGACAAGCAATCTAACAATTTTTGATGCTTATAGCATTTTATTGGATCTTAGAATATGTTGAGAGATATCTTTAAAATTTAACGTTGTAATGTAGGTACGTACATTTTATTGAACTTAATTTTAAAATTCAATTATACAAACGGCCAGTTTATAAGGGCGTTACAAGGGCGTTGACTAGTGATTACTTTTGATTAACACAAAAAATAAATTAAGTAATTAAAATTAAATTAATTTTTGAAACATGTAATAAAAAAAATTATTGTATTTAACAATGCGTATTTCTCCTATTGAGAGAGATATTTTAAATTTATTTTTATTTTTATGTACTTTTACACATTTATCACATTTCAATCATCATCATATCTTAAAATTGCCGTGTCACGCTTTTTTGAAGCCTCTATTCGTTGAGGCTGTTGGAATTCTCTGATTTTGATGTGGTTTCGTATTCGGGGATTTTCGGGGTCGATTATTTCGAATCTGTACTCAAAAATTGAAAATTCGAAATAGTGGATCTTGTACGCGATCCAGCACAGCCACACTGTGGGTCGAATT